TTCTCAGTAATCTTTTTTTCCCACAAAAATTTCAGTATAATTTTTTCCCCAAAAAAAATTATTAGTAAATTTTTTTTCTCAAAAAATTATTAGTAAATTGTTTCCCTAAATAATTAACAGTAAAATCTTTTCCCTCAAAAATTTTTAGTAAAATTTTATTTCGCCAAATTTTTTCAGTGAATTTTTTTTCTCAGAAAAATTTTCAGTAAAAAGTTTTTCTATAAAAAATTATGAGCAAAATTTTTTCCACAAAAGTTTTCAGTCATAAAAGTTTTTTTCTTTTTTTTTTTGATCTAACATTCAAAATCAAAAAAAAAAATCAATTTTTCTAATTGTCGTCGCCTACAGCAGGGAATGTCAAGCGCTCCGAGTGTATTTCTGAGATGAAATAAAAAAAATGAAATCTCTCACTTTAAACTTGAAGCGCAGCTCGGCCGGGAGTTACTTCAGCGGTTACAAAAAGCCAACTGAGTGCAGTTCAGTTCGGTGAGCTAATAGACAGACAGTCAGCAAATTACCGATTTCTTTGGATCTCACAAAAAGCGTTTATTTACCGTTATTTCTGAAAATAAAATCATATAGAGTATTACTTAAGGTTTTTATTTATTTAATATTTTTTTTTCATTTACTACCAACTTTTAATTGAAAAGACACTAGAAATGAGCGAATTTATTTAAAAAAAAAAAAAAAAAATTATGAAAAATAAACCTTCTAAATCATACTGATGACTAGCACCTATTTTAGTAATTTGTGTGCTAAGCATAATTATTTAAAATTTAATTTAGTATCTAGGAATTTTTATAGGAATTAAAACAACAACTATTTTAATTGTGCGCTAAAATGCATTAATAAAAACGCCAAAATGTATTAATTAATTTAAGCAGTTTAGTATATAATATTACAAACATTTAGTAGAAAATTAATACATTATAACAAACATACATACATACATACGTATGTATGCATAAGTTTAAATTGGAAACTAAATTTATGTGCAAAATTGAAAAAAGAAAATATAAAATTAATTTAAAAAAATTCCCCGCAATTTTTAATTAATTTTTTTTTAATTCAATCAGTCAGATTATACATATATATAATATTTAAAGATTTTATTTTAAATAAAAATACATACATACAAATAAATCTGTTCATCTCATGACTGATTGTGAAAAATGTATGTATAAAAATCCGTTAAAATGAAATTTATACACTCAGCAACTGTTGCTGCTGTTTACAGCCATACAAAAATACATACATACATACACACCTATATAAATAATATTATATACGTGTATGTAGAAATGTATGCATTATATCGATAAGTAAGTTAAACTTCTATACGCATAATAATTATAAAGACATACATACATATATATACATATATATATATATATATATATATATACTAATAATTAATACATACATATGCCAAATAAAACAATACAAATATTGAATTATTCAGCTCTGTTGTTTTACTTCATTAACTTGTTGTACTGTTATTTGGAAGAAGGGCATATGGCATATCCTGCGCCACCGTTGTTTTGCTTCGTTGAATAAAAAAAAAAAATAACTCTTATGTAACGATGCATGCACTTTTTCAATACAAAACTCACTGCTTTTTCTACAATAGGGTTATCCATTTTGAAGCTTCGAAAATAAATTAAGTAAAATGCATTTGAAACTTCTTTTTTTACCTTTTGACACATATTGGTCGCTATGCCAGCCATAACTTGTCGAATGTTGGTTTTCAAGTGCTCAAGAGTTATAGGTTTATCCGCATAAACATGATTTTTCGCTGAGACGAATCGTCTGAACTCGTTTGGCCAATTGACATTGCCACGAAAAAGTCGCTTCGAATTGACAAGTAAGATCCAATCTCATCTCCGAATCAGTGCGCACAGCGGACAGTGAGTTTTTGTTTTTTTTTTTTGAAATGGCCTCTCTTCCATCATTTCCAGATTATCGAGGCCCCAATCGCGACGATTTTGCATATTTACTTATCCCCCGAGTGAGAAATGTGCTTCGTCGCTGATGAAAATTTTCTTCGAAAAATCGCTGATGTAAGTAAGGCATTGTAAATGGTCAGCTGTGCTTTATACATATGTACATATGTAGGTGCTCGGTAAGGAATTCAATCATGACTTTCTTTAAAATTTCAATTTACCCCTGAATGGAATTGATCTACATACATGTCGTAAACGAATTCGCTAGTGATATGACACGAAAACTGCGTTTGTATTCACTTTATGACCTCTGGTCAAATTCGAAGGAAGTACCAAAAGCTCGGTAAATTGACCAGAAAAAATTAGAAATATTCTTTTTGTGTTTATTCATAATCTTTGTCCTTTTTTATCTTTTCAACATAATCGCCATTGATTTCAGTGCATTTCTTAAGCTTATATATCCACTTCTGAAAACAGTCTTCAAAATCTTTCCTCTTAAGCTTATCAATTTCTTCTTTCTTTTTAATTTTTTTTTTTTTTTTTTGAATTTTTGGAAATAACCAGAAATCACAAGGTGCTATATTTGGGGGAATATGGGATGCTGGACGTATTTCTTCGATCCAAGAGATCACAATAAAATTACTCTTTGCCTTAGCAGTGTGGGATGGCGCGTTGTCATGATGTAAAAAGTAGCGCCGCAAATCCTCTTTCGTCCTGTTTCCAACAAATTTATGAAAACCTTTGGTAAGCACCATTCGATGTACCGTTTTGCAGTTACCGTCTGACCCTTTGACTCTTTTCCAGTGGAATAGCAGCTACGATTTGAGATCGGTTGAAGTAAACTGACATCATAACTTCTGCTGCTGATATTTGTTGCTTCGATTTTACGGGTGTGTTGTTCCTGTTGGGCTCCATACCATGGACTGCTGTTTAGTCTCTGGATCTTACTTATAGCACCAAGACTCGTCACCAGTAACGAATTAAATCAAGTTGCTATACTGACCATTTCCTACTTTGTTGAGGAAAAATCGAGAAAAATGTGATCGAGCCTTATTTCGAGCCTCGTTTAAAATTTCTGATACCCTTCGAACAAATTTCTTTGTATATCCTGGATGATTACTTAATATTCGCGATACAACCATGGCATTCAAACCAATTCAATAGCAACTTTGAACTTTGTCATCAGTAAAAGATTTTGATCGCGCCTTCTCGGTGCTCGTCCTTTACGGAAAAGTGTTCAGTCTGAAACTTTCGGTACAATTTGGGAATAGTCTTTAAAGAACGATTGCACCTTCCATCTGCAATGTGGCATTCATTGAATATTTGTTTTGACTGTAAATTACGCCGAAATCCGTAGAGAATCACCAGGTGATTTGCGTTGGTGTTGGAATTTCGTCTGAGCTATCCTCAGCTATCTTGCGTTTGCACTTCTTCATTTCAGTCGCTCGTTCTAAAATTTGAAAGGAAGACTAATAAAGTAATTGCAAAGGATTTGGTGTTTTTAGATTCAACAAAAACAAATTGAAAGTCACCAACTTCTTAACTGACAGATTAAAGCCGAGTCAACGGCAATATTCCAGTCATTTCTTCAGTTTGATGTTTGGCGTCAATAGAAGCCAGCTCTCTCTCCCGTGATCTTTCACTTACCATAAAAAACCACCTGCGAATGCCGCAAAGAGAACTTTCGAAGCAGAGTAGATGAAAGTCCAGAACACATAACCTATACAAGATGTCACTAAAAATTAATTATGTGGGTAATTTATATTGGTACATATTGTTGTACATCTCGCACTGGCTATTTATTGTCCCTTGCAAATATGTTTACATAAATATTTCAAAGTGTCTATTAAAGGTAGTTTTTATATTTTATCAGGTTCCATTGTACTTCTTCTACATATGTATGTATGCATGCATTTGGATGTATGCTATGTATGTATATAAATTCTTGTGCGTATGTTGTTATAAGCACATGCATATACATATATTATATTTATAAATTTCTTCCAATTATCTACATACATACATATGTAATTCGCAATCGACTACAGCTCACAACAAAAATGTATACCAATAAATACATATACATATGTACATAATTATATACCCACACACATATTTCCGACAAAAGTAAGTAATAACTTCCGGTTTGATTCAATTTATGTTCTTTTTATTTTCTCAATTTGCGCTTCGTCGTTTTCCAGCGGATGTTAACAAACTCACAAGCGCATACACATACAAAGGAATGCCTGCAATTTTGTACAAAAAAAACGTACAAACTGACATATGCGCGAACGAACGGCGCCCAAAGTGTTGAATGCAGAGAAAAACAGATTAACGTTAGAGAAAAAACAGGAAAAAGAAGAACGGAAACAATGAAAGTGACCCAGCCAGTTTGTGCACCAAAAAAATTTTGTGAATATTGGTAGGGGACTTTCCTAAAGTTACCTGCAGTATTAAGGTAGTTTGTGGAATTGTTGAAAAAATATTTAAGAATGTGCAAAAAGTGTATGTATATTTGGCTAAATTGCAAATGTGAAAAATGGCGCTTCGAAATACAGTTTTAACAAAATACGTTTCTCCGCCATTTCCGTACTTCAGCGACATTTGCAGCGTAATTTGCCGTTTCCACTGTACAGAGTTGCATTTGTTGGTAGCTTAATTGACGCCACTAGTTGCACTTCCGATGGTTGGTTATAATGTGTAGTAGTAATTGTTCACTGCAAACGAGAGCCTGTAATTAATTTTCACATGAATGAAAATCTTTTGAATATAATAAGGACTGGTACACAAAATTAGTAAGTAAAATGTGTGATTTAGAAATCAAAAATTTATTAAAATATTTAAAAATAGCAGAAATGCTATAATAAAAACAACAGAAGGGTTTACCATTATAATATTTCAGTGTTTTAGTTCCTTCTCAAAGTAGATACATCTCCCTTTGGTTATTTTTAATGTTTTTTTCTTCATGCAAATATTTTAAAAGCCTCCTTTTCCAGTACAATCGAATGCAACCGTGCAGTTGTTATTGTTGTTGTTGACTTTTTTGTTTTTATCCACACTTGGTCAACGAAACAACACCACAAAACGTATCGACGCGAACTCGGTGACGGAAAAGAAAAAGCTTGCTCTTTTTGTACGTGCGCCTTGTTTCCTTTTCCTTTAATTTTAATTTTGTTTTTAAGAAATTTAACAATTTGTAAATGATTTTGCAGATTACAGCAAGGCGACATTACCGTTTAACGTTGACTTAGTTTTTTGGGCGATACAGACGAAGTGCATTAGTGAAGCACATACAGAAAATGGTTGGCGGCGGCAGCGGTGGCGGTGATAATAAAGTGGTGGCCACTTTACGAGCGGATGGAAGTGTATATCCTGCCAGCGGTACTTCAATTGGACAATTAGTTAATTTAATGAATTATAAAATCGTGAGTTTTGCAATGAATATGAAATGTTTATATGTTTCTTAATAACATTCAATTAATATATGCTGGAATTTTTGCCACGGCTGCTACAGCGTACGGAAGTGGATGTGAGCAATAAGGCGCTCAATACATTTAGTGTTCCAACAACAGTTGTAGATCTGGGTAAACAACTATTGCAATACGCCAGAGACGGTGATCTCAAGGGTGTAAAGAATATGTTAACCCGTGGTGCGCCTTTCACCTCAGACTGGGTAAGTGGAACACTGCAATGTTGTGCAAAGGAATGTGAATATACAAATATACACATATTTCGATACTTTTAGTTGGGCATGTCAGCGCTACACTTTGCTGCAATGAATAACCAATATGAGGTATGTTTCGAATTACTGAGAGGAGGTATTAATAAGGACTCAAAAACTAAAGTGGATCGTACACCACTACATATGGCCTGCTTCTACGGCAATGAACGTATAGTTGAACTTTTACTCTCCAAGAAATGTATAGTAAATCCGAGAGATATGGTATGCTATAGATGAGTTACATTTAAAGATTTATACAATTTTATGTATTTTTTCATCCTCAGTTGCGTATGACACCACTACACTGGGCTGTCGAGAAGGGCCACAAGAACATTGCGCGTTTACTACTCAAGCACAATGCCGATGTGACGGTGACATCTAAATTTGGTAAAACACCCATTGCACTTGCCGTACTGACGGAACAAGCTGATTTATTAGAAGAATTGGAAGCCGCGCGACAATTGCAAATAAACCGCAAATATAATGAAGAACATGAGGTGAGCATATACATATATCAAGAAATAAAAAAAAATAAAAATCCGTTGTGCTACAATATGTAATAATATTATAATACGCAATTATAATAATTCACAGTGAAACACGCTTAATTAAAGTTTTAATTTTATTTGTGCTTTTCTATTACAAATATGCGTGCAAACAAACATACTACTTATGCTCAAAAAAAAATCATAAATATGCTCACAGGTGCGGACCAAGCGTTCCAAAGTAGGTATTCCAAGTTAGCATGTTTTATATTATAAATATTGCTATACAATTATTTATTTTTTGTTGTTGTGCGTATCATTAACAATTTGGCAAAAAAAAAGCGTTGTTTCCAAAAATTTGACAAAAACCTTTCTGTTAGTTTAATCTAAAATTTAATATTTGTGCATACATAGTATATACATATGTATGTATTTTTGTTATATAAATATTGAAAACATTATTAAAAAATAATTCCAATTTACAGAAAGAAACCTCAGATGCCGTCAACTCCATTATGGGTTTAACAAATTTTAAAACAGAAGAACCAACGACTTCAGCGAAGCACGCAATGGAAGTCGAAGACGAATTAACAAATAATAGTGATTATGCCGATGCAAAAATATCGGATTTAGCAAATATTAAAGGTAATTAAGAGTTATTAAGGAATATTTAAGACCAAAATAAATATATTAACTTCACACTTGTAGAAACTGGTGTTTTGGACAAAACCACGATTAATATGCTTAAAGATCATGGCATTTCAATGATGCCGGAAGATGAGGACACATCAAAAGATTTACTCGCCACTGCCTTACAAAATGGACGACAATTGGTATTGTCGGAAGGTGGCAAATTGTTATTAAATGAAACAAAGAAAATACACAATAATAGCAACAATAATAATATTGGTGATAAAAATGTCGCCGTCAACAGCAGTGGCAGTACAAATCAAACCAATTATACGGTGTTGCCTGTACGGAATACAATAGCATCGCGTACACAAAACCTGAAAACGCGTGCGAGTATTATATCCAAGGCAAAGGATAATCTCAACATGTACAAGGTCAGGAAACTATATATATTATTAAAAATAGAAAAGTTCAAAATAGTTTGCCATAGAATATTATTGCGATGAAAACGTCTGAAATTATTTCTCTCTTATAGAATGTGCGCATTATTTCGCTTAATGATTTCAAAAAATTTTATGGCAATACGAATTTGAAAGGCGTACAGAAAATACCAGCTTCGATGGCGAGGTATGTTAAATTTATAAAAATGATATGTAAAAAATAAAAAGCTTTACTGCTTTTAGTGAACGCTTCGCGCGTATAAGACAAATAAGCGAGGAAAAGCGAATACTCAATCCTGGTAGCCGACCAATGAACACAAATCAGCGAATATTAGCACAGCTACAGGTATTTTTCTGCTTAATTTTAATGGTTGTTAATTGTTGTAAGGCCACCAATAAATACATACTTTTTTACAACAAAACGTTTTATTTTTTATTGAGCTGATTTATTTAATATATAATTTTCTTGCAATTCCATGATTCTACATAATGATATTATATATTTTATATTATTTTGTATATGTTTTTTTTTTTTACTTATTTTATACGAAATTAATTCATGTCATAATTATTAAATTTTAAAATTCTTTTCTCTCTCTCTTTCTTTCTTCCAGACAAAGTCTGCACAAACTATAATGAAAACTGAGCAACCATCCACCATTACAGCGGATGATGATGATATCGACTCAATCATACAATTAGCGCCCACTGAGAGTGATGCCGAAATGTCGGATGCAGAGCAAACGCAGCAATACCAATCGCATCAGCAACAACAGCAGGTGCATAAACAAATACAACAACATCAACAAAAAGCCGTTACCAGTAATATGCAAGGCACAAAACAGTTATTAAATATTGCCGCACCGCCATTAATACGTCAAATTACCGCTAAACAAAGCAACAATATTGGCAATAAACTCAATACAGCCGATGGTGGTAGTAACAGCAAGCATCAATCGGGCTCGGCCGTTATTTCTTTATTATCTGTGCCGGAAATATGCCGCCAACTGTATGAGTTGCGTCGACAAAATGACGAACTGAGACGTAAATTCGATGCAGCACAAAAGGAGAAAGAAGAAATGCGCCAACGTTTGGATAGATTAGAGGAACTGTTATTGGTGGAGAGAACTGATGACGGCTATACTGAAGCCTAGTAACAGAGAAAAGTTAAAATATCCATCAATTATTTGATTTTTTGTTTGTTTTGGAAAACAAAAGTGTTGGTACTCTCTTGCAATATATATGTGTGTATTTATAATGTATTGAAGCGCCTTTATCGAGTCAAACGTTGCATTCGTCGCAAAATTCGATATCAAAAAATATTACATTTAATTAGGCTTTTGTCTCCTTTGTTATATTGCTGAATATAACATTTGGGAGCGTTCATTAAATACTAAGTCGAAAAATAAATTATATTAGTTTTTAACTGTAAATATTTAATTTTATTCACCACTCATAACAAAGAAAAAAATTGGAAAAAGCATTTCATTGCTCATTAAATATGTAGTAGTGAGACTTAAGTTTCGTTTTTACTAATAAATAATTAATATCATTTTGATTTTTACTGTTACGAAGAGATGAAATTATAAAAGAAATTAAAGTTAACTTTATGCATAGAATTCTGTCAAACCTGTTTTTTTTTTTGTTTATGCTGTGCGGAAACAAAACAAGAAAAATCATAAATACATACATACATATATACTATGTAACTGACGAAGTAAATGTTAATTTTTTTAAGATTTTTATATTTTTCTATGACAAAATAAGCATACAAACAAATAAATATGTTCGTGAAAAAAACAGAAGCATACAAATGAACATACATGAAAATACTATCAACGAATATTTATTACAAAAAAAAATAAATATGCATAAAAAATTATTATAATCTGTATATAAACAATTAAAACGTTGCAAAATTTATTGTACATATATAGAGAATAAGCATTATTTGAAATCAAAAAGCTATAAGGCGTTCCTTTTTATGGTTTAAATCATTACTTTATTTTAAAAACAATCTTACGTGTACGTTCTATATGCTACAAAAGCTAAACTAAAAAATTCGGTTTAAGTCAATAAGTGAGTTAATGTTATTTCGTAGATTCAATGAATAAAAGAGCATTAAATTTGAAAATATTTTTTCTTTTTTTTTTTTTGTTATAATTTGTTTAAACAGGTTTCCTTATAGTCTCCATATAAGACTGACCGAGTTCTTCCGTCAGGGAGAGCAATGACATTTTTGCAACGGCATACATACATATATTAGGCTAATAAATATATATTTCTATTTTTTGCCTGAGCTGAATTGTGATTTAAAATTAAAAGCTAATTTTAGCGTTCGAACCGTCTCCAAAAAAAAATTTTCAATCGTTATATTTTGCTGAAAAATGTTCAATTTTACTTCACACCATTTTACTACCGTTTCATAATGGGTTAAGTTAACACTGCATTGCCGACTAAACCATCAGCTGTTACTCGAAATAAGATTTTTTTGACATTTCTTTACAAATTCAGTTTGCCATCAAAACAAATTATTTCGCACGTGTTTCAAATTTTCTGTTTGATCCAGCCAGAAAAATTGCTGATAAAAGGCAATTTATTCATTGAAAACAAGAAATAATGGTAAAATTGTGTATAACCCTCTGAAAATATTAATGGAACTCTAACATCTCTTATTTTTTTAGGGTAAGAAGAATGACGACATTGACTTACCCGGCTTCCCATCGCTCGATAGCGGTGGTGGTGGCGATGGTGATACACAGAGTAAAAGTACAGGCAAATCTAAGAAAAGTGGTGGTTTCCAATCAATGGGACTCTCGTTCGGCGTTATTAAGGGCATAACAAAGCGTGGTTATAAAATTCCAACACCTATTCAACGGAAGGTGAATATCCCATTTAGCATGTAGTGTATCTATGATTGGTATATATTTTCTTATTTTTAGACCATACCCTTGATATTGGAAGGACGCGATGTCGTCGCTATGGCTAAGACTGGTTCTGGCAAAACTGCTTGCTTTCTAATACCCATGTTTGAGAAATTAAAATGCCGTGAACCCACCAAAGGCGCGCGGGCATTGATTTTGTCGCCAACACGCGAATTGGCTGTTCAAACATATAAGTTTATAAAAGAATTGGGACGTTTTATGGATTTGAAAACAATTTTAGTACTTGGTGGTGATTCCATGGATTCACAATTCTCCGCAATACACACATGTCCGGATATAATAGTCGCCACTCCTGGTCGTTTTCTGCATTTGTGTGTTGAAATGGACTTAAAGTTGAATTCAATAGGTGAGTTCTAGTATGAATATTGAATATTTAAACAAAAAAAATATATATATATATAAAATTTTTAATTTTATTTTGAATTTTAGAATATGTTGTGTTTGATGAAGCTGATCGTTTGTTTGAAATGGGTTTTGGAGAGCAATTGAATGAAACCCTACATCGTTTGCCTGCGGCCAGACAAACGGTACTCTTTTCCGCAACACTTCCCAAGCTTTTAGTGAACTTTGCGCGTGCTGGTCTAAACGATCCAATACTACTGCGTTTAGGTATTTTTAAAAATGATTTGTTATGCAACACATTCTAAAATGATTGCCTTTGTTATTTATAGATGTCGAGTCTAAGTTGCCCGATGGTTTAATGCTTAAATTCCTCTACTGTCGTCCCGACGAACGGTATACCGCTTTGATAGTGCTGCTCAAATATGTCATACCACAAGACTCGCAAACAGTGGTGTTCGCAGGCACACAACATCACGTTGAATTGATATGCTATGTAAGTAAATTCTTCCATATATTTATGCAAAAATTTATATTTAAATGATAACTTCTTAACTTTTAGATACTCACAAAATGCGGCATTTCCAACACGGCGGTATATTCCAGTTTAGATCCTACGGCACGTAAAATCAATACGGCGAAATTTGTTAATAAAAAAGTTTCAGTGCTTACTGTAACCGATGTGGCGGCACGAGGTATTGATATACCAAGTTTGGACTATGTGGTAAATTTACATTTTCCTGGAAAACCAAAACTGTTTGTGCACCGCGTTGGTCGTTGTGCGCGCGCTGGACGTACTGGCACAGCCTATTCTATATTCTCTACTGACGATGCAGCTCATGTGCTTGATTTGCATTTGTTTTTGAATCGACAGTTCAATATAAATGACAACAAAACCGTGGGAATAGCGCCGCAAGATTTGTTGGAAGAAGAACACCTTACTGTGACGGACGTCAAGAAGAGCCATGATATTGTAAGTTTTGCAATTTCATATTGAAAAATTAGATTATAATTAAAAAAGTTCTCAATAATTTTTTTCCTTAGGCTGGTGTACTACGCACAAGTGAAAACGCATACAAAAAGTACTTGTCATCACGTCCAGTGGCCTCAACAGAATCGAATGCGCGTATAAAGAAAATTAAATTTTACAGTTGTAAGCCGTTAGATGATTTTCTATCTGTAAACTCGTTCTTGCAAGATCCAAAAGATTCTAATGGTGAAAAGAATGAGAAATCAAAAGCAGAACTGGCCTCCCAAGAACGGAAAATGCAGGAGGAGAAGCATGATTTGCTTGTAAAAATGCGTAACTTTAAACCCTCTACTGTAAGCAACTACACCAAACTCGCCTCAATTGAATATTTATTACAATACTAAAATTTTTAGACCATTTTCGAGCTTAATCGCCATCAAAAATCGGTGCCATTCACAATAATGAAGGAAAAGCGATCGAAGCATACAGAAGTGATTGAGAAATATAGAAATAAAATGGAAGAAATCGACAATGAGGAAGCAAATAAACAATTGGAAGCAGATGAAAAGGAAGAGGTGAGTGTTCAATTTATATAGAAAAAAAAAATTCCTTGCAATTTAACATCAACTCTTTAATCACTCAAGGCTGAGGAAGCAGATGCAGATGAAATCGAATCAGCTTTCAACGACATCGTTGCACCAAAGAAACGTAAAAACTTGGAAGACCTTTACAAAAACAAGAAGAAAAGGAAGAAAGTCAATGCTAAGGATTCTGAAAACTATATTCCCTACCAATCAGCTGATAAACACACAGAAGATGGTCTGGCAATTAATTCTTTCGAGCGTCAAGCTATGAATGCAGAGTTCTCTGTAATCGATCGTGACAGCAACACAGATTATCGTCCCAAACCAGGCATGAAGAAATGGGATCGTATCAAGAAGAAAATGGTTTCTGTACAAGATCCACGTGCTGGTAAAATACGCACAGAATCAGGTGCATGGATTCCAGCATCCTTTAAGACAGGCCGTTACAGTGATTGGAAGGAGAAATCTAAGATTGAAGAACAACTACAACGAGAAAATGGCAGCGATGATGATGGCTTTAAGCCCCTTTCGCATGACCAGCGATACCCTGTTGGTCGACATGCTCGTCATAATGCTAAGGTGGCCGCTAAGAAACGAGTTGGTGGTGGTGATAGTGAGCTGCGCCATCCAGAGCAGATTGTGAAGGCACGCATGCGCTTGGAGTTCATTAAGAAACGTAACGCCGATAATGCGATACGGAAAGCGGAGAACCGAAAACGTAGTATGCGAAAGAATCAACGGGTCAAGCAAAAGAAGGGTGGCAAAAAGTAAAAGGTTTAGTAGGTTAAGCTAGATAACGTTTGTCTATTGTTTCGTATAAATGGATATATACATAAATATGTACATAAGCCACAAAATATTTTTTGTATAATAATAAAGCATATTCTTAAATGAAAAAAATCTAGTTGAAGTGTTAAATATACCATGGATAATTTACATTCCAACTAGTGAAAATTGCGATAGCCTATTTCATTCAATCCACTAAAAAATTACTCGGCAGCTCTAAATAACCAGCTGTTGGTCAACTTACCAGTAGATGTCGCTAAAACTAATGTCAAGAAAAATTTATTTTGACATTATTGACTGTGTAGAAAGACTTGTTTTTTCTTCCTGGGTTAAATAGTGTTTGTTTCGGCATAAATTAATAAAATTGAACAAATGCACGTCCAAAGCACACAGTGGTCTCAGGCAGTGATAACGTAACGGCGGAAAATAAACTTATTTCGAGTATTTGTTCTACGTACAGTATATACAAATATAATATACACATACATATTTGAAATGTGCATGTAATTTTTTTAATAAAAAAAGGTTAACAGTAAAAAATAAAACTACAACCCTAAAACAAGTTCAAACAAATAAAACCACACAACGCAAATAGATAGCGAAAGTAGTACAACTGTTACCAACATACATATATTGCTCTCCAAAAATAAAAATGTGAAAAAGAAAAAAACGCGGAATACGTGTCAAGCGAACTACATACGTTCAACCTTACAGTAAACCCTCTGCTCTTCGGAGGGAGGAACTACCCTTAGATCTCAATAAAAAAAATCAAGGGTGACAGCTGAATCATGCAGCCGTCAAAGTTGCTTGGACAGCGCCGATCTGCAAGCTATGTGTGTATTTAATTTATATATACAAGTAAACACAATATATTAATTCATATACATACATATGTATGTAAATTTCAATATAAATTGTACAAATTATAATTGCAAATATTTTGCAAAATTTTCTCAAATCAAATCAAAAAAGTTTACGGAATTTGGTGCGCTGTGCTAATATAATAAAATTAATAATGGACAGCTCAATGGCTTTGGGTGTTTTTCGTAATTTAACCACGGTCAATAGTGCTGCTACTGTTAGCGACATGGATATGGAAGATATGGACACCATGTTTAAATCATCCACAATACAGACCATTATGGATATCGACACAACCACTGCAACCAGCACCACAACAGCTGCACCGGAACCATCGGTGTCGATGAATAATTTCTATCCTGCTTTAGTACAATGTTTCGGCATTATCATTTGTGGGTGAGTGTCTGCACTTTGATCTTTGAACTCTCCATTAAGTACATACCTACTTATTTAAGTATATCAATGCCAAAAGCGTAATAACTGCACCATAATAATTTAGTGGGTGGTTATTATATTGAATGATTTTGTGTGCTACTCCTACGCAAGCATAGTGTCTGAATATTAGTAATTCACTTAATAGCGTCAGTAATCTAATTTATAAACATACCTATATATGTACGTGTACGCATCAGTGAAATTGTTATCCGTGAACGTTAAATTTCTTTGTCTGATTTTCTATGCTAAAACAAAAGTTCAACGCAGGAGAGTGTGTGATCATAAAAGCCTTAATAAAATAAAGTAAAAGTAGTTAAATCCCAATAAAACTGGAAAAACACAAAATATCACGTATATCGTACCACAGTTATCAAAGATATTTTATAAATAATCAATGACTAAATTTTCTTTAATAAATTTTTATTTGATATGATTGTGGTGATGCTTTAGTCGGTGCTTGACGCAAATATTCTCCCTGAATTTGTTTGTTTTGTTCAATTTTTTTTTAATGCGCATCTACATATGTACATATGAAATATACGTGACTTTCGTTAAGTGATAATGCCAAATGATGGCAGAGATAATTAAAAATATCAAAGATTCATATAATTATTTTGTCTGCTATCAAGTCTTAAACTTGAGGGTTTTCGCCAATTTTATATACTTGGGTACTTATCTTTCATAGTACTTAAATAAGTATTAAACAACAACAAAAACAATTAACTCACTTCTCATATATAACAGCGTGCATTGTTTTAATTTGAACTTATATCATGATTCAACAGCCAGACTAATTAAATACTATAATACATTTCTCACAAGATCAACTAATTGCTAATGCAGCTTTCTAACTTGTCATCTATGTATAAACAGAGTAATAACTCTTCTTCCGATTGCTTGCTTGTTGATTTCCATATAAATTTTAAAATTTCGAATTAATTTATATTTCGTTTTTAATTATTTTATTTGAAACAAAACACAATTATCTATGCAAAAAGTAATCACATTCAAATATACAAACTTCTACTAATTATCGTTAATTGTATTAAATTATAAATATGTAGGTGCACAAGCACATACATATACATATAGCTTTTATAGTAGCTACTAGTATATATTGGTTATCACACTTGCACTTGGTAGCCGGTTAAAGCCAACTTGTTTTGATAGTAAATTACTTCTACTGTAAAATTTTTTTTTATACAATCTTAAAATTTCTATACACTTTTATTATACTTTTATTATACTGATTGACAATCGCAATTAAGTAAAAAAAAGTTTGGGCCGAGTAAACATGACTAATTGTGGAGTCAGTAATTTTTCTGACTGATAGCGGTACACTTATAGGGTTGTAGGTATATATATGTATCTATGTATGTAAACTTCTTCATGTGGAAGCATTCATATAGAATTAAACAACAGCAAAACCTTGGCACAACTCTGTACCTTGGCACAATTCAGGTCTGGATACTGTGGCAGGTAGGAGTTTAACCATTTCCAGACTCGACTCCAGCATATCCAACGTATGGCTTGCATGTGGAGAGTGTCCGCACGACACTAAACCACCTCTTCACATATCCCCTTAAACCGACTCATCTAACCCCCCTTTCCCTTTGGTACAATCCCGTCGAAAGAGCTCGTTTCCTAGGCCTCCCATTAGATGATCTCGGCGACTTAGATTAGTGAAACCTGTACCTAGGGTTAGCAAACCGCTACTACTACAACAACAACAACAAAATGCAGTTGAATAGGATTATCCTTTGCCTTAATGGTAATTTTCTCAAGGACTTTATGAGGTTGTTGGTTCCCCATGAACGAAGAGCTAATTCTGCATTATGTCGTTTGAAATTAACTGGAATTAATATGTTCGTACTATCTAAGAAGGCTAAATACTCTTTCCGGCATCTTCTTTTTCGATCCCTGTGGAGTATGCCAAAATTCAATTATCAACTTATTATACACTGACGACAAGCTTTTCATACATTTTTCCAATTACAAAACTGATGCTAAATATTTGCCGGTCGGTCATAAATTGCGCCGGATTTATTCGGACCATGAGGACTAGCGAGACAGCTCCCATTTAAGGAACATAATGCTTTGCATAGACGCTTCGCTGCCCAAGTGATGCTCAGGCGACATCGGAATGTATCCTGCCTCTTTCCTAGGGGCGGTGTTTTGGCAAGCCTGTAGCTTCTTCAACTGCGTCTCGTTTGTCCCCGGTGCAACATAGTTAGCGGCGGGCCGGTCAATTGATTTTTAGGTACCCAGAAAGGTTTATTTGGCTTCGCCACACGTCCGGCCGGCTAGTGCTCTGAGTATTTCTTTGTGGCTCTGGAGTTTTGCGGCAGTTGCGGTCGTATGCTGAGTGAAGGAATGCAGCCTGTCAAATGGGACTCCCAGTAATTTTGAATTGTTTATGATCGAAATTTTGACGCCATCGAATTTCACATGTAGTTCCAGCTTATATTTCTTCATCCACCTCGTGAAAAGGGTAGCCGAGGATTTGGACGGTTGTATTCTGAGTTGTCGTGCAGTGAAGAAAAGTAACAGGTCGACGAGATAGCCGCTAACTTTCGAACAAAAGTCATGAATATCCTAGACGCCCCAGGCGCCAATATCGTGCAATCATCCGCGTATGAGGTTAGGGAAACTCCTTCTGGTGGAGGAGGGAGTTTCGAAATATAGATGTTGGACAATAATGGGGAGAGGACAACACCCTGAGGAACATCTGGTTTAATTTTCGTTCGTTTCGATGTTTCACCTCAAAATATTATCCATGATTGTCGACCACTTAAGTATACCATTATCCACCTCTACATGCCCGGTGGTAATGAGGACGCCCCTATGTTCGTTAGAAGCACTGATTTATTGACGGTGTCAAAAGCTTTTGACAGATCTAGTGCCACCAGAACAGTTCGCGCACATGATCTGGGTGTTTATGACGTTAAGTGATGTTGTGGTACTTTGCTCTTTGCGGAAGCCATGCTGATGTGCTGCTGGTCTCAGATGATAAATAAACGTCGGGAGCGGTAAGGTCTCAAGTGTGGATACTACTGGGGAGAGGCGCGATATCGGCCAATATGACTTCCCTTTTTTTTAGCTGGTTTCCCCGGCTTGAGTTACGGGACCACTCTGCCCATTTTTCACACATCAGGTATTTTTAGGGTAGTCGAAGGCAGATTGAGGAGTTTGGTCGAGGAAGTATGCTACCGCTGGTCCCAGATGTTTTAGCATCAGCATTCTAAAGACGATAGATGTGGAGGCTTTCGCTTTCACTTGAACCTCTTCTCTGGAGAAATCAAGCGATGCGCTACTGTGGAGGCGATTCCCCTTCCGACATTGCGCAGGTTATAGAGCGACTCGTCTGTGGCCCAGAGCTTGGTTGGCCCAGAGGAGAGATTACAGGATCTTAAGCGCTCCTCCCACATTTCCTCGCTTATGGTTGTCTCCCATTCGCCGAATCTTCTGGTTGAGACCGCTGTTCAGAAAATTACCGGGATCAGCGTTGCGAATGGTGTCGCACCTTGATGCTAGAACCGCCACTTCTGTCATGATGAAACAGGCGGCAGCGGAATCCTGCGGAATAAACATTCACCGGCTGTGATGATGTTGTTGTTGCTATAGCCGCAAAACATATTCCCCAAATTAGTTTTTGAGGTATGTCCTTGTCCTTGGCCACTGTCGCGGGAACTTTTGGTTTTTAGTCGCCTCTTAGAACAAGCATGGCTTACTACGGCTAAATTCTACACTACTTTGGTCAAAAGTCTTAATTACTGCTCTTGAAATGGATTTCTTGACTCAATTGCAACTCCTATCGAGGAAAACTGGCGTGAGAGTAATTCACAACAACAAAAAATTGAAAATTTATTTTTTTAATGTCATTGAACTTGAAATGTAAACAATTCACTTATGTCCAATGGTGTAATTGATTCTTATTTACCTCGGCTCATTCACGTTGTATGTATGTATATATGTATGATTGTATGTATGTATGTATATACCATTATAAACCGCAAGAATGAATCATATGACTTTAATAATTCCCATTGTGTCCACACTCTTTTTCAAATTCAAATAACAAAAATGCATTTATTTACGCACATTTATATATATATGTACATATGTGCGAATGTATGTATGGATAAGCGAATAGTCCCAATTCAAATGCAACCGACATCAGTGCACATTTTTCCCGTTATCTCTAAAAGAAATTTTCATGGCAACATTTCAATTAAGTAATTTACACTGTCTGAGATTACTTCCACGTGATAACGCGGAATTGCACTAAAAAGCAAAAAAAAAAGAAAAATAATAATAATAAAATATTTCGCTTTGATTGAATTGAAATAAATTAATTTGTCTCCTCGCCAAACAACAAAACGGCCGACTGCCAGTCACTCATTCACACACACTTTGGGTCCAATTTATGGGTCAATTTTCCAGTTCACTGAATGCGATAAAGCAAATTCAACGATTATACAAATGTACATATGTTTTCATATGTGTGTATGTACATATGTATTATATGTATTTTTTAACGCTGAATTATTTAATAGTTTAACTACTCGAGTCGGCGCTTTGTAAATTTGTATGGCTTTTACAGTCTAAGTACTTACACTTTCAGTGTTATCTCGAATGAAAATGTTTTCAATTGAAATTGCTAGGCAGTTTTTTAAATAAAGAACATTTGTTTCTATTTTAAAAATATATTTGATGTTTGGCTCATCATATATTGCTGAGACCAAATAAAATCTATGTGAAATGAGTATAGAACTCATACAATATATTCTACTTTGTTAGTGGGTATGTGGGAACAAATGATTTCACTTAAGGTTTCTCTGAAAATTAATATATATAAAAAACAGATTATCGTTGTTCGTAGAGATGGAATAATTAACAAATAGATAACCTCTTTGAATATCTGGGTTAGTATAGGTCAAAGTGCGCGCTGATGACCGAAGGGGCATTGACTGCCTATAAATTATGTATTTCCTATATAAAAATTCTGATAGTCAAAAACAATATTTTTATATGTTAAATAGTTAAAAATCAAAAAAATTAAAATGGTTTATTATGAATCAGTGTCATGTATAAGCCTCTAAACGTTTGTTCATTTATTAAGCGTGTTTGTCTCAGATATAATTTAAATAAACGAGCCTAAATGTAGGCAATGCTTTTTCAATTTTTTGTTTCAGTGCCAAAATTAAAGGAAAAATTTGTTATTCTTAAAAAAAAACTATATAAAATATTAAAAAAAAATAAAAAACACGAAAACTTAATAGAAAAATTTAAAAAAATAAGAAAATAAAAATAAACATTGATCAAAAAATGAGTTAAAAAATTATAAATAAAAAGGATTAAAAGAAAAACTGTAAAAATAAAGAAGTATAAAAAATTATAAAATAAAATAAAAAATAAAAAATTATCAAATAAAAAAATAAAAAAATTAAAAAAAAAATTATTAAAAAAAAAAATTACAAAATAAAAAAATTGTAAAGCAAAAAGAAATAAAAAAAATACAAAAAAAAAATTTAATTAAAAAAAGTTTAAAGAAATAAAAAAATTACAAAAATAATAAGCAATTAAATAATTAAAAAAAAAAAAATAAAAAAATTGCAAAAAATATTAAAAAAAAAAATACAAAAAAAAATTTAAAATTAAAATAAATGAGAAAGTTGAAAAAAATTACAATAAAAATATAAATTAGAAAAGATAAGGAATGAGAAAATTAAAAAAATACTAAGAAACATAAAACAAAAAATTAAAAATTAAAAAAAAAATTAAAAATTAAAAAAAAAATTAAAATTACAAAAAAAAAAAACAAATAAAAAATAATAAAATATAAAATAATAAAAAATTAAAAAAAAATAAAAAATATTAAATTAAAAAATTGCAAAACAATAAAGAAAAATAGTAAAAAAAATATAAATTCTCAAAAAAAAATACCAAAAGAAAAATTGAAATTAAAAGAATTTTAAAGAAATAAAAAATTAAAAAACATTAGAGTTACAAAAAAAATAACCAATAAAAAAGTGTAACTTAAAAAAAATATCAAACAATTAAAGAAAAGTAGTAAAAGGGAAAAATATAAATTGTAAAGCAAAAAGAATTAAAAAATACAAAAAAAAAAATTTAATTAAAAAAAGTTTAAAGAAATAAAAAAATTACAAAAATAATAATCAATTAAATAATTAAACAAAAATAAAAAAATAAAATATTTGCAAAAAAAATTAAAAAAATACAAAAAAAATTAAAAATTAAAATAAATGAGAAAGTTGAAAAAAATTACAATAAAAATATAAATTAGAAAAGATAAGGAATTAGAAAACTAAAAAAATACTAAGAAACATAAAACAAAAAATTAAAAATTGAAAAAAAAGTTAAAAATTAAAAAAAATTAAAAATTAAAGAAATTAAAATTACAAAAAAAAAAACAAATAAAAAAATATTAACTTAAAAAAATATAAAAACAATAAAGAAAAATAGTAAAGGAAATAAATAATAAATAAATTGTAAAGTAAAAAAAAAATTAAACAAAATTTAGGGAAAAAAATAAAACCAATTAAAAAGTTAAAAATTGAAAACTATAAAAAAGTTTAAATTCAAAAAAAATTAAAATAAATGAGAACGTTTAAGAAAAATTACAAAAAAAAATTATAATTAAAAAAGATAAGAAATAAGAAAGTTAAAAAAATAAAAAGAAACATAAAACAAAAAATTAAAAAAATTATGAAAATGAGAAGAAGTTATGAAGACATAAAAAAAAATTAAAAATTAAAAAAAAAAAAAACAAAAAAAATTTAAATAAAATATTATAAGAAAAAATTTAGAAATTAAAAAAAATATGAAAATTTTCAAAAAAAAAAACATTAAAAATTGTAAAAAAAATAAAAAATTATACAAAAAATGTAAAAGTGTTAGAAAAACGAGAAATTGCTTATTGCAAAAAAAAAAAACAAAGTACCACACAAAGTTGTATAAGCAATGAGGAAAGTACACGAATTGAATAGATTTATTGATAAATAAAATAAAATTTCACCAAATTCACACGGTTATATTTACAGTATAAAAATTGCATGTCTCCATGTTTACTTTGTTACATATTTATCTATGTTTTTTTTTTGTTCTCAACACGATTCGTATTGTGAAATTGCTTATTACAAAAAATATAAAAGAACAAAACCCTAGTTTTGCAATTTAAACAGAAATAGATTTTAGTGAACTGAAATAGAGGAAAATATTGATCAAACTACAAACAAAATTTAACTTTGAACTTGATGAAGGACGAGCGTTGACTTATTGATACCAAAATCATAGAATTATATACTCACTCATACTATATGTGTGCAACAGCTACACACACATACATATGTATATTAATTTATTGGCCAGAGCCGAAAATATTTTATCTAAATTTTTGTGAATAACTTTAATTTGTTATCTTACTTACCTTGTGTGGCGATTTATTTGCCAACTGAAACTGCTTTGGGGTACGTCTGTACAAATTTAATGTCAAAACGAAATGTGAAATGGATGTAGATTCTTGATTTTACTTATTTATATATTTTTTTTTTAATTATTTATTACTTGATTGACAAAATTGCATTTAAATGCTCCGATTAATAGCCAAATTATCAATCTCAAATGTGTCAAAGTGCCGAGATAGATTTTTACTAAAAGAAAATTTATATTTTATTAAGTAATTATGAAAAAAAATATTTTTTTGAATTTATACTATAAAAAAGAATAAATATATTTTTACACAATTTTATATCAAGAAATTTTCGTATTTCACAACAATTAAACGGAGTCATTTATAATACAATTTTATTCGAAAAACATCAATTGTTCTACAATTTTTTTTTTTTTATAAATAATACAAGTAATTTCACCCAATTAGCCAAATTAGACGTGTGAAATAATGGGCGCAGGCAATTTATAATTTATTTGTGAAAATGTTATTAATATGTGCCTAGATAATTTGTAGAATGCATCAAAAAAGTAAAAAAGTCATAAAAAAAAAGTTGTTATTGTGAAATTTATTTAGTAAGGGCTTGCATTTTGATTGAAATTCATATTATTGTAAACATATAATTACCGTAATTTTAATTACTTAATTGATTGATAAAGATGTGTTTAAATGAAGGCATGGATTATTGAATAATAAAATATGTCATGCTATAATAATGGGCGCAACTTGTTAATATAGTTCCCTTATATTGTCTTTGTGTGCTTTATTTATATAATAATTGTTTTAAAATATATGTATATAAATTTAAAAAAAATTTAAATAACTCAATATAAGATTTTGTGTGTGAAAAAAGTCATACTTGAATACAACTGCTGCTTTTTGTTGAATATTTTACACTAAATCTGGTGAGCTTTACATACTTTTCTGTCATATGACAATATAAAATTTCTTCCTCCATTTATATATTATATATAATTAACGCGTTGTTATCGCTGTAGCGATTTTCGGCCCAGCTCCTCCTCCGATTTGTGGTTTTGCGTCTTGATGTTTTTCCAAAAAAGAGAATGACCTTCAGCGTATACTAAGCCGCCTCCGAAGGGCTCATGGCTTTTTCTATGAGGAGAATTTATTTCATGTCAGAAATACACTCGAAGGGGTGGACCTGCAGAGGGGCGACCGCAATTAGAAAATTTAGCTTAATTTTTTATTTAAATTAATTTTCTATATTTGTTGGATGTTGGTCGCACGTGGATTTGAACCCGAGCCTTCCGAATGGCAGTACGAAATGCTAACCACTCGGCTACCGCGGCCGCCCTTTAGTCATCATTTAATTTCCGTAGACCCAAATTAAGAACTGAAATTTCTGCTAAAACTCTTCAACAAAGTTGAACTGTGATTGCGAACATTTTAGGCATGCCTTGACGCTTCAAATCTTACGGACCATTTAGACGTAAAAAACTTTAAACGGGACTTACTATACTATTTGGAATCGATAACAAGTAACTCTAACCTTCAAAGGCAAGTGTTTTCACATCTCATTTGGACTTTAGGAATCGATTGTTGCTGACGGTGAATAATGTAAGTAACCATGCTTATAGCAGAGAGCACTTCGATTATCGTCAAAGATGGACCAGGTTTTGCTTTGTGTGTGGTGGGATCTATAAACGCTCAATTCGGCCCTCTACTGCCAACAACTGGACCGCTTGAAGGCAGCACTCATCCAGAAGAGGCCATCTTTGATCAACAGAGGCCGAATTGTGTTCAATCAGGGCAACGCCAGGCCACAAACGTGTTTGGTGACGCGCTAGAAGCTCCAGGAGCTCGGATGGGAGGTCTTAATACACCCACCTTATAGTCCGGACCTGGCTCCAAGTGATTACCATCTTTTTCAGTCATGCCGAACCCGCTTAATGGTTGGCCTCAAGAGAGGCTTGTGAAAATTGGCTCTCCGAGTTTGTTTGCCAATGGCGGCGTCCCTCCTTCTACGAGAGGGGTATAATGAAGTTTGCATCTCGTTGGCAACCAGTTTACGAACAAAAGGGCGCATATTTGATTTAAATTGGAAAAATGTACACAAAGTTATCATATTTTGAAAAATCAATAAAAAAAAAACCGAAGGAACTTTTTAAAAATAATATTATATTTATAAAAAGATTTTATATTTCCTTGAATGAGTTGTACAACTTTGTACCATATACGAGGGGAGGTCGAATATATCGTGAATACATTGGCAAACCTCTCTCAACGAATTCTAAAATACCAGGTCAGCTGTGTGAGTACCATTGCTTTTAGAATATTCAGTTAATATTGCTAATCGATTTTGCAAGAAAAAACTCATTATAAATGAGAAACACTTTTTGTTTTAATTTATCAAGGAATAACTTGTTTGAGGAATATTTTAAGGGCGGGTTTTGCTTGCAAGTCAATTCTCTTTTTACAAGAGCAGAGTTGCATTAGCTGCTTTCCAGGGCTTAAGGCGCACACCTTGTGTAATGGCCTAAACAAAGGTGATTTTTGGGAATTTTTTATAAAAAAAAAATACTTTATCAATTACTTCAAAATTGTAAGAATATATTTATTTATGGTTCAAGAATATACAGTGAAATATTTGAAGAAAAAAATTAAATATTTTTTAAGTTATATAGTTTAGTTATGATTCCAGCATTCTCCGTGGATGAAATCTAAAAAAAAATTCTCGTTAAACTAAATAATATTGTCTGTA